AATTTTTAAGAATTATTTGTTCAGTTTCTTGTGATTTTTATTTTATTTTCTTTCGAAACTTTCTTTTAATTTTTAAATGTGAAAAAAATCGTTCTGATAATTTATTTTTCAGTTTTTCTAAAAGAGATATATTTATTATATAATTACAAATAATTTTACGGTAGAATATTTGACTGGCCACCAGTGGCGGCTTGTGGGCACTAGTGGCAGTGGGGCACACACTGGAAAGGAATCCCAGGATTCGTTTTCCCCCTTGGGTAAACAAGTTCTCCGCCTAATGAAAATTAAATATATTTCAAAACAATCAGTTGGGGCAATAACGATTTCTGAATGTGACTACAGGGAGCTAAATGTGACCACTCAAAATGCATTTAACTATGTATGTGTGGCTATTTAATCAAAAAATCATTACATATCCACTCTTGCGAAATTTGCGTAAATTTCTCAGAAGAATGCAATTTACTTAACAATTCTAACTTGTTAACGCATTTTAAAACATACGACTCCGAAGAAAAGGTGTTTGGCAATTTAAAATCTCCCAGCGAAAAATTTCTTTTATATTTTCAAATTCGAAAAACTATTTATATCTCTCTATTTGATAGTTTGTCAACTAAGCCTGGAATTTCCAACGCATACCTTTTTGAGATGAGTAAAATAGAATCCTTGCCAACAATTTGCGAAAATGTACACCATTAAATTATTTATAAGACTCTGAATTTTTTATACTCTTAAAAATGCAAACAGAGATTTGAAATCCTCGAAAAAGTCAGACAAAACCAAAAGAAAAATTAAAATTTTGTCCCATCTCGATTTTCAGATGTACAACATCTACAAATTTGTATCCCGTCATAATAAATTTCACAAATTCACAAGTTCGGCGATGTTTTGTAACCTAGGCGGTCGGAATAAACGTTCAACGGTCGCCAGCTCTGCTGAAACTGGAGCCAACCAGTGTTGCCAGAATATATTTTGGTAATGTACCAGATTTATCTAAAAAATGTACCAGATTTCATAAAAATGTACTAGATTCTATAAAATTACTAGATTTGTCTAATTATGAAGTATGGTCATTAAAGAGCAAAAAAAGGTTTATAGAGAACACGAACACAACAATTTTAACAATATTTTATCTCTCGACAAATTTCTGACATTATTTTATCTCTCGAGCAGTTTTTGAATAAAATTTTAATACCTTTTGATACTCTTTTATCTCTCGAACAGTTTTTAAATCTTTTTTATCTCTTGAGCTAAGTATTTTGAAACAATATTTTACCTCTCGATAAATTTCTAACAGTATTCTATCTCTCGAGCAATTTTTAACAACTTTTTTTTATCCCTCGAGCAATGTTTTATCCCTCGAACAATGTACAAAATTTTTTGTAAAATTTTTAACACTATTTAATCACTCGAGCAATTTTTAACAGTTTTTTACCTTTCAAGCTATTTTTGAACAATATTTGATCTCTCGTGCAATTTTTGAGCAAAATTTTAACAATTTCTAACACTATTTGATCTCTAGAGCAATTTTTATTAACATTTTTTATCTTTCTAACAATTTTTAAACAATGTTTTATCTCTCGAGAAATGTTTAATAGTATTTTTTAATTCTCGAGTAATTTTTTAATATGATTTTAATAACTTATGATACTATTTTATCTCTCGATCAATTTTTAAACCTTTTTTTATCTCTTGAGCTATATTTATTATATTATATATTATATTCATCAATTTGCCGCTTATCTTTATTCGGGCAAATTCAAACTACGTCGCGTCCCATTTGCCATTTCGTATTTATTTGTTAATAATTCGCCAATACTGTTTTTAATTTTGACAATTTCTTTCGTTTGTTTTTTGTTTTACTTACGAGGATGGGAGAAAAGTTTCCGGCCTAACCTATAGCAGGCCCGATTTGCTTTCCTGTTCCAACGTGTCTGTGTAGGCTTGCTTGTCGTCAGTATACTCTCAAAATTTAAATTAGTGCGTCAAGTAGTTTGTGTCCTGGGTATTTTAAAAGCTTATAAAGTGCGCCACTTTTAAAAGATGGAAAAAAACAAGATAAGAACGGTGATAACATATTTCCATATCAATTTCCATTTGTGACACCCTTTTCTTCGTCTCTAAAAATAAAGAAAAGGGGTTGGGGTGGCGCTAAGCTGTTCTTCGAACAAGGGTTGCTCAGGCGTCAGTTTTGGTAACGCAGTCTACTCTGCGGCCCTGGGGTGCACTTAGAGTACACCCTCAGCAGACTCAGTGGAGTCCAGGTACAAACAAAAAAAAAAAATAAATAAAACGGTCAGACCTTCACTATTTAGTTGACCTACACTGGGGTAATAGAATAAATAAAATTTTTCACTGCACTTTTACCTATTAGTAACTAAGCCCTAAAAACGGAAAAAGTAAAGGAGTAATTCAAAATTAAACTCAGGAATTATAATTAAAAATATATTTACAAAATAAAATAAATAAATAAAACAAATGACACAAGGGTGAAATCGGTAATTATAAATATTTAATAGCGGTAATAAAATAAATGTAGAATTTATGTGTTGTTGATAAAATAGACGGTCTCGGTGTTAACAGAAAAGTGCTATAACGGTAAAATTAACTATGACCTATGCTATACCCATGAGAAAATAAAAATAATAATTTCCTTTTAAAAAAATATATAACGGTGGGCACTAACACCCTTAGCACAAATTCTTTCCTACTAATGCAAATAACCGGTTTTAGTCATAAGACAAAAATCTACAATAGTAAAATTAAATATGATTTGAACTATACCTTTTAGAAATTAAAAGTTAATAATTTATTCTCAGTAATCAATTATAGACAATTTATGAACGGCAGTGAACGGTATCACTTTGCACTCCTGAGAGGAAAAAAAAATGACGGTTGCCTTTATAAGAATGACGGTTAATATCCTCCCCGCACTATTATTTAGCTAGACACAATAGTCCCAATACAGGTGACTTAAAACGGTATTATTCGACCAACACTTTAGGGAATATTGACGATTTCAACTTTATTTATTCGGATTCAAATTTCTCTTATGTAGACATCTGGTAATCCATAGCTTCTACAAAAGCGAAAAAAAGAAAACTCTGATTCTCGACGGGGAAGCAAGCGAATACCGCTATCACCCCTGATTCACGCGGAAATGGTTGAAGGGTACTACAGCCCCGGATCTAAATCAAATTTGTTACCCTGACAGGCACTAAGAAATCTAAAATACTGGTCGAATTTCTTAAGTAATTAATAGAAACGGAAATAAATGTTGCTGGGAGAATTATTAGACGGAATTTTAAATAAAAGGCTTACCTTGATTAAGCTTTCACTAACTCGGTATTCACACACACACACACACTTCGTAAAAGTACTTTTTAATTCAAATACCGACGGACAGGAAAAAAAAAGAGAGACCCTCCCATCGAAAACATCTTTTATCAAAAGTCGTACTTTTGCCGGAGTGGGGACGGTAGTCCCTTCTTTTCTGAAATATGTTGTTTTGCAAAAAAAAACCTTAATTGATCAGCTTACTGATAAACCTACTAGAATTGCTATTTTACGACAAGATTTAATTTATTGTGATATTGAAAAGTTTTAAACTACGAGGGCCCTTGCAAAGGTTTAAAAACGGTAATTCTATGGAAATATTAATTACAGGGGGTCTTGCAATTTTAGAAATTAATTTATGGAATAAATTAATGGGAATTTTAGTGACTTCGTCACAGGATTATCGCCGACGGAAATAAAAGCTAAACTAGATGCTACAATAGGGGAATCTGCTCCTTCATTTACCATAGTTAAAATCTGGGTAGCGGACTTTAAACGTGGTCGTACTAGTTCTGGCAGGCTAAAAACGGCAACTTCTGAAGAAATAGTGCAAACCGTTCACAAACTAATTCTAAAAGATCGCAGATTAAAATTGGAAGAGGTAGCTGAGGCTGTGGGCATATCAAAAGAGCGAGTTCACTATATTTTGTGTGAAGTTTTAGGTATGAGAAAGCTATCCGCCCGATGGGTGCCGCGTTTGCTCACGTCAGATCAGAAGCTCACGCGGCTAACCATTTCAGAGGAGAATTTGGCACTGTTTAGACGTGATCCAGGGAACTTTCTGCGTAGATTATTACGGTTGATGAAACATGGGTTTATCATTATACCCCTAAAACTAAACAACAGTCCAAACAGTGGACGGCAAAGGACGAACCAGTTCCAAAGAAGGTAAAGGCAGTACCGTCTGCTGGAAAGGTCATGGCAACGGTCTTTTGGGATGCTAAAGGGATACTCCTAATAGATTATCTCGAAAAGGGAAGAACAATAAATTCAGAGTACTACAGCGACTTACTGCACCAGCTTAAGCACAATATAAGTGAAAACGCCCTGGTTTGGCAAAACAGAAAATTATGTTTCATCAGGACAATGCACCTTGCCACAAGTCCGTTCTTGTAATGGCTAAAATTCATCAGCTAGGCTTTGAAATGTTAAACCATCCTCCGTATTCGCCAGACCTAGCCCCGTCAGACTTTTGTTTCCAAACCTAAAAAAACTTCTTGCTGGCAAAAAAATGTCCACGGATTTAGAAGTAATTGCAACCACAAACGCCTATTTTAACGAGTTGGATAAATCAGACTACAGTGACGGTATTAAATCGCTTGAACATCGTTGGGTCAAATGTATTACCCTACAAGGGGACTATGTAGAAAAATAAATTCTTATTCAGTCACTATTGTGTTTTGCTTTCTATGTTAGGCCGGAAACTTTTCATCCCATCCTCGTATATCCTGTACCACGTCCTACACATTTTTAGAATTGTTTTTATCACTTTCAATAGTTTGTTTATAATAATTAAATTTTGTTTTTGTAATTAAAGTGTTAATTTTATTTCTATAATGAATGTATTTTTTTTATTTGCACCATACTGAATAAAAAAAATTAGAAACGCATTACTTGCCTGTTACCTGAAGTAGTACTGACAAACTTTTTTCCAAATAAAACAGCGGTAATAACAAAATATTATATTTATTATGAAAATACTCTGAACATCCTATAAACTACAATGGAATAGAATATAAATTATTATAAAAGTCCAAACAGCTCTGTCACTATTTTCTACTTAAAGCTTTTTTTTCAGTAAAAAATGGAAGAGTCATCAAGTCAAGTTTTTCAAAAAACAAAAAAGTATCAAGATTTAAAGTCGCATACGTCGATAATGTCAAACGTACAAAAAATCACATAACGAGTTAGTTACACCAACAATTTAGATTAGCTTTCATAAAACAGCCAAATTTTCATTCTAAAGCAGTTTGTACTAATAAAATTGTTTAAAATATATGAAAACAAAAATAAAAAATAATAATACTAATAGTAACTTGGAAAATGGTAACGCAAAACTATAAATTCTAATACCGAAAAATCACAATGCATAACACTGGCAGTAACATATGCTCTGGTCCAGAAGAATATCTAGAAAAATAAAAAAAATGTTTTAAAATTCTTCTATAACATAACGAAGTCATATATTTTATAATCCTGAGCAACATTTCACATTCTGTATTCGAATTATTTACAACTAACGATGTTAGTTCTAATTTATAGAACTAATGGACCAAATGGCATTTTAGACACCAATAAAACAACAGTTGGTACTATGAAGACTAGAAAGAAGGAGGCGAATCGGCAATGGTCAAATTTCATTTTTCCGTCCTTCTTTTTATAAAGTTCGCGAAATTGACTGTAGTTGGCATGTCGAATAACAGCGATGTCAATTTTCAATGTAAGTCAATGTAAAATGAAGTAATTTTTTTAAAAAAATCGGTGAAAAACTCAAAATAATGTAAAAAAGTACCTGAGTGAGTACAAGTAACATGAGTGACAAAAAACATCAAAGCAAGATTTACGTCGTTCCAGATTGTAAAACAGGATACAAATCAAATGTAAAACTAAAGAAAACACAAGGAGAAATTAATTCAATGTCTTTTTAAAGCTTCTAATGTAAATAAAATAATGTATTTATGTCTAAATATATTATTTATTGTAAACTGGTCACAAAATGTAAAAGTCGTAAAACACCTGTTACTTCCTCTCTAAAAAAAGAGGTAAAGGGAAATATTTCGATAGAATTAGTAGAGGTCGCGGACATGATGAAAACATATAAAAGGTGATTATATATTGTGAAGCGACCCCTTCGGGGACGCTGACGGGATGTTTCGTCCGGAAATCTCTCATACAAAATTTGTCCGAAAAAAAAAATGGCGCCAGACAAAAAATCCGCGTGCGTGGTGAGTTAAAAAGTGACAAAGGGTGTATAAAAAAAAATTATTTGTTTTTATTGAACCGTCGAAAAAGGATAAAGAAATTTTGAAAACGTCATAAAAAAGTGACAGTTGACGGGAGACAAAAAAATTCCTTCTTTACAGTCACCTTCGATGTCTTAAGCGTCTGCTGCTTACGCATACTCACTTCCACAGTGCACCCAAATCTCGGAAAAGGGATCCGTAGGATGTTTGGACAATTTCCGTGCGATTTTTCGAGGTTTTCCGCGGTTTCCATGAAAACCACTTGGCGAATGTTGACCCCGATTTTTTTCAAGAAGCGTCCCATGGGTATACATCTTCCGTCCGAGTTTCATCGAAATCCATCCATCCGTTCGGACGGTACGATTTTTTAAAGTCGCCCGGAAACCCCTCATACGAAATGGGTGCGAAAAAAATGGCGCCCGATGAAAAATTTGTGCGCGTGGTGAAGTAGAGAGGCGAGGGGTGTTTAGGAAAAATATTAAAAAATTATTCGTTTCCATTAAAACGTCGAAAAACGATAAAGAAATTTTCAAAACGTCATAAAAAAGTGACAGTTGACAGGAGACGAAAAATCCTTCTTATCAGTCACCTACGATATCTTAAGCGTCTGCCGTTTATGCATACTCACTTCCATAGTGCACCCAATTCCCGGAAAAGGGATTCATAGGATGTTTGGACAATTTCCGTTTCTATAATATAAAATTTTACAGTCATAGATCCTGACGTACAAACAACAATAATTATACATTATATTTAACTTACTAGAAAAGAAAATTTATTTTTTATAAATTTTTAATGTTAGATAAAGAGTTGCTACTGTTATTTTTTTGTTGAACCACAATTGTGTCATTATAAATATTTTTTATAGGATACTAAACGCTTAGAACGGTGGCAGCATATACAGGGTGAATCAGAACTATGGGATCAAATATCGAGAGGTTATTCAGTGGAATAATAGAAGAAATTTAAATACAAGAACCCGTGTCCGAAAATATCTTTCTAAGGCGCTACGATCCTATGACGTTTTAAATCAGTTATGTGAAAAAATGTGTTTGATCGAGAGGTAAAGCATTGTTTTCATTTATTGTTATACATAACACTGTATAAATAAAAACAATCCTTTAACGCTTGATCAAACACATTTTTTCCCAGAACTGACTTAAGAGTCATAGGACTGTAGCGCCTTAGGAAGACATTTTCGGACATGGATTTTTGTACTCAAATATTTTCTATTATTGCACTGAATAACCTCTCGACGTTTGATCCCATAGTTCTGAATCATCCAGTATATCGTTCCTAGTGCCGATAAAGCACTTTCTAGAGATGATGCTGTTCTATACTTTTTAGAAGATATTATCAAGTATTATGAGACTATTTTAACTGATGGTACTATTAGCAAAATAAAATGGGGAAAGCTGAAATTAAAGGATGAGGTAAAACCATGTACATTACCAAATCTTCCTTTATACTTGTATTAGAACAATAAAAAAATCTGTTGACTGTGTTTTATTTTGCTCTTAAAACTATATCTAGGTTCAATTCAAAGAAATTTTGCCACAAATTTCAGCATTTAATAAACCTTTTCGAATTTGGTCATACGTACCTAATTTGTATTTTTAATAAATAAAATTAAATAATTTATCAATTAAAACATGCAAGACTTATTTAGAAATAAATACAACAGTATGTTCTGTGCTTTATTTAGCTATAAACAAGTTTATTTTTATTATTTTTCAAAATTACGTATAATTCCCATAAGAAGCCATGTATTTTGAACACCGTAAGCAGTACCAGCGCCCATGCGGCTAATTACAAAAGCTCAATTAGCGTGCGTTTTTTCGGACCATATTTTGAGTATGCCGATTCGCCTCCTTATCTCTAGTCTTCATTGTTGGTACATTATTTTTACGAAAAAATTAAAATAATGAACCAACTTGTGATTTACCCAAACGAAAAGCAACATTTGGTTCATTACAGAGACCAGAAATTTAACATACACCGGTGTTTAACCTGCGCAAATGTTGTAGACACTAATGAAACAACAGTTGGTACATTATTTTTACGATAAAATTCAAATATAGAACCAACTCTTGATTTACCCAAACGAAAAGCAGCATTTGGTTCATTACAGAGACCAGAGATGTAACATACACCGGTGTTGAACCTGCGCAAATGTTCTAGACACTAATGAAAGAACAGTTGGTACATTATTTTTACGATAAAATTTAAAAATTGAACCAAATCGTGATTTGACCAAACGAAAAGCAACATTTGGTTCATTACAGAGACCAGAGATGTAACATACACCGGTGTTAAACCTGCACGAATGTTGAAGACACTAATGAAACAACAATTGGTACATTATTTTTACGATAAAAATTAAATAATGAACCAAATTGTAATTTACCCAAACGAAAAGCAACATTTGGTTCATTACAGAGACCAGAAATTTAACATACACCGGTGTTTAACCTGCGCAAATGTTGTAGACACTAATGAAACAACAGTTGGTACATTATTTTTACGATAAAATTTAAAAAATGAACCAAATCGTGATTTAACCAAACGAAAAGCAACATTTGGTTCATTACAGAGACCAGAGATGTAACATACACCGGTGTTAAACCTGCACGAATGTTGAAGACACTAATGAAACAACAGTTGGTACATTATTATTAAGATAAAATTAAAATAATGAACCAAATTGCGATTTAGCCAAACTAAAAGCAACATTTGGTTCATTAAAAAGGTCAGAGATGTAACATCCACCGGTGTTTAACCTGCGCGAACCTTGAAGACACTAATGAAACAACAGTTGGTACATTATTTTTACGAAAAAAATAAAATAATAGGTAATCGAATAATTTATTTTAAAAGAAATACGAAAAAAAAAATAATTATTTAAAAATAATCGATATTTCGGTTATTTTTTTTTAGAAAAAATCGATTTATCAGTTAATCGGCTTTTTAATTAATCGATTATTTTCAAATTTTCAAAGATATTCGAATAATCGATTGATCATAAATAATCGATAATTCGATTATTTTTTAGAACAATCGATTTATCGGTTAATATGTTTGTTTTTAATTAAACTGTTGTTTTCGATTTTTCAAACAATCTATTAATCGATTTTAAAGGAAATGCGAAAAAAGATTATCTGAAAATAATCGATTGATCAAAAATAATCGATAATTATGTTATTTTGTTTTTTTTTTAGAAAAATCGAGTTATCACTTATAATTAGTCGATTAATCGAATATATTCAATAAATTATTTTCGTCTTTTTAAAGATAATGGAATTATCGATTTTAAAGGAAGTACAAAAAATATATTAATTGAAAATAATCGATTGATCGAAAATAATCGATAATTCTGTTATTATTTTAAAACAATCGATTTATCGGTTAACAATTATTTGATTATCTTTAAAAAATCGAAAACAATTTATTATTTTCAATTAATCTTTTTTCTTTTCGCATTTCCTTTAAAATCGATTATCTTTGAAAAACCTAAAATAACATTAATTAAAAACAGATTAACCGATAAATCGATTGTTTAAAAAAAAACAAGCGAATTATCGATTATTTACGATCAATCGATTATTCTGGTATCTTCGAAATTTTGAAAGTAATCGCTTAATCGAAAATAATCGATTAATTAAAAAGCCGATTAACTGATAAATCGATTTTAAAAAAAAATAACCGAATTATCGATTATTTTTAAATAATCTATTTTTTTCGTATTTCTTTTAAAATAAATATTCGATTACCTTTGAAAAATCGAAAATAAACCGATGTTTGGGATTAAATGGAAACTGATATTGTACCTTTTGTTAGTAGTACTCAGAATATATTAAAAAACATTTTTGTTAAATGACTGACTTAATTTTTTAGTAATGGCGTTTAAATTAGTCATAGTATTCAAGTTCAAATATTTTTTTATAATCTAGAGGACAATTTGATTGAAATTAAAATAAAACTATCTGTAAGTAACAATCAATTAACTGAAAACCCGATTAACCGATAAATCGATTTTTTTCTAAAAAAAAAATAACCAATTTATCAATCGTTAAAACCGGTCTCTTTAATCTAAGGACAAAATGAAAATAATGAACCAAATCGTGATTTACCCAAACGAAAAGCAACATTTGGTTCATGACTTTCAACCATAGTAAATAAACATAATCCTCACCTCAAACATCCTCGAATCTTTACACAGCGGTAACGTCAACAGTTTCGATCCTGGTGATCGGCTCCATAACCTTGACGTTCAAATTCTTTTGAGCGTTCGAATTAATCTTCAAGTCCTGTATCATCTCGATGACGCTGTTTATGGCGTCGGAATTTTCATCCTCCTTCTTTTGGTTCTTCTTGGCATAGTGTAGGTAACAAAAGCCTCGGCTGCCTTTCCAAGTGATGTTATTCGGTTTGATGCCTTTTTCTCTGAGCGCGTTTTTGAAATCGCGCACCCTAGAAGATAAACGATTGTTTTATTTGGAAGTTGGACCAATTTTCAGTAACACCGACCTGACATTCCTCTGGATGTTGCTCACCCTCAACGAGTAATCAATGTGCGGCTTCTTCTTCTTTTTTTTGTTCTTAATTTGCGGCGGAACGTTTTCCTGATTGTCTTTCGCTCCTTCCGTGTTCGGTTCTTGGAATTTTACTGTTCTACGAGGAATTCCTGTAAAAAGAGTCACTGAAATACTCAATTCTTTATAGCGCATGTATATATAAGTATATTATATACCTTCGTTTTGAGGGTTTTCGTTTTGCACTTGATCCTTCCTAGGTTTGTCCTGGTAGTTTCTGTTTTGTCGCCTTTTGAAGGCGAACCGGCGCCAGAAGAAGGGCCTGCGGATAGGACGTTCCCCGGGATTTAGAACCTTTAAGGTTGTATCCCTACCCTCGCTAAAACAAATTAAATTTTTCATTTACAATTTTGTTTTCAATTTTTTTGATTTTTTTTTAAATTCAATTAATTTTTTTAAGTTTTTTGTTTTTTTTAAGTTTTTTCAAGTTTATGTTAAGATTTTTTAAGCTTTTTTTAAATTTTTATAAATTTTATTTAATTTTTTTTATTTTTACAATTTTTTTTCCAATTTGTTTTGCATTTTTTATTTTTTTTGCAATTTTTTTACAATTTTTTCTTTTTTAATTTTTCTATTTCTATTTGATTTTTAATTCTTTAAATAAAATTACCCCTTTTTAAAAAAATATTGGCCCAATTGATTACTTTTAAGAAACTCACTGTAGATTTCTTTAGATCTCGCGTTTTGGCAGTATAAACTTTTAATGCAACAGTTAACATTCCATATATTAATTTACCTTTGGTGCTTTTGTTTCAAGTCTTGCAGTATTCTCTTGCCCTTGAGCTGACCCTTGGTCAGTTCGTTCCAGAAAACCCCTTCGGGTCGGGGTAGTTTTTTTTCTATTTTGATTGTGCGCGTGGGAGTTACAATGTAATCGACAGGTACGTCATATTTTTCGAACAATTCTTGAGGTAACTCATCGAACACCTACAAAATAGCCATATAAAAAAAATATTCCTGCAATGATCTGATAAAAGTTGTCTCAGACTATAATAAGTTCAATGATTTTTTCTCAATACTTTTGTTTAGATAAAACAACACTCATAAAAGTACTTGGAAATTAATATATTTATAAACAAAATTGCATACAGATTACGAAAAATATAATGCATTAATCTTATCTGAGATTGATTGTGATTCTTAGAAGAAAAAAATGTTGCAAATTGATATCATAACTTGCATACTCCAAAAGTTTATATATAGAATTACATATAAAAATGTTGCTATCACGAATGTTGTTACTTGTATTCTAAATTATATGAGTATCACACTAATTTCAATCCTATGGCTAGCCCCTTGAAAACTTTAAATGATAACAGGGATCGACTGATGGCTTATTTGAAAGGATTTTTAATTTCCTATTCAATTTGTCTTATTTAGTTTTTTACTAAATTAAATTAAGGTAGTTCACTCGCGACAGTCGTACACAAAAATATCGCCCTATAGTGAATACCAACCGTTCGAGATTCTTAAATCTAAAGAAAGGTTATTTTTGTAACAGACTGTACCAATGATCTGTATTATTTTACTGGATAGGATATAGCCCCCTAAAAAACGTTCCGAAAAATTGGCCGATTTGGGCAAATAATATGGCGGACCGGATGTTATTTAACGTAACCTCTATTTCCATTTGTCATCACATTTGTCATTTAATTGTGTCAACAAGCTACGATGAGATGTTTTTATTGTGGAAAACAAAGTAAAAAGAGTATGAAATAAACAATAAACGTTCATTCCTGAAGACGCAATATGCTTCACGTTTCTATTTTTATATTTTCTTTCATAAAAAATCAAATCATGGGTGCAATTTCCCAAAGGACATCGCCCGCAAAAGGAATAGAAGAAGAATAAGAAGAAAAACTAATCAAATTATAGATTATGTATGTCAAATTATCCCAAATTTCAGTTCTGTGAACCCACCATAATTAGCCCAAATCGGCCAGCATTGTTGCACTTCCGGTCTCCTTGGTGGAACGATTTTTAGTATGTTAAATATAGCCTATATCCTATCCAGTAAAATAATACAGATCAGTGGACTGTACACACAACACATGTGATCCTATATACAAATATGGCATTATATCGTGTAAAACCCATCCGGCAACGTCGCAAATATATTGTGAAACGTCAATTGTATTCCTAAAGTAAAATAAATGTAAATATCAAAATGTTTCATTGTCAGGATCAATTAATTGCCAAATAAAGGAAAATTTGTTAAGCAGAACGTACTCAACAAACGCAAAAAATCAATTTTTGCTATGAATAATGCAAAAAAATTGAGAAAGGAAACCCCAAGCTTGAAAAATAACCTGTGCAGTGGTCGGATCGTGAAATTACTAGAGTTGGGAGAACATTTAAAATGTTGCTGGTGTGAAAGAGTTCTTTCTCTTGAAAATATTACAAATGAAACACGAAAGGGCCTTTATTCAATTTTAAATGTTAAATGTAATGAATGTAATATTGAAACTATAGTACCTACGGACAAAGTTCATGCAACAAAAAGTGAAGTTAAGCATTCAGATGTCAACACTAAAGCAGTTCTAGGTAAATTTAAAAAAAAAATACATAAGTATTTGTTATGTTTATAATTTTTTTATTATAATTAATATAATTTTATTTATTTAAAGGTGCTGTCCATTATTCAGGGTTTGGTCAAACTGCTTTAAATAAATTTCTTGCTGTCATGAACGTTCCTACGATATCATCAATACTACAGAAAATCATTACTTTTATTTGTATTTTTTTTATGACTTCCTCATACTAGTAAGTTAAAATTTTAAATTACTTTATATTCATTTTTTTTGCGTAACTGTATTTTATTTTGAAGGCATGTTTAAATAAAATTATATTCATCTTTTGCATATTTATTTAATTTTGAAGACATGTTTAAATACAATTAAATTTAAATTGTTAAATCATATCAACCTAAAGTATAAACAACGTCCCTTCCCAGAAGGCCTCGATAATTTGATAAACTTGACCTGTCCGCGGCAATAAAAAGGTTGGGAAGCACTGATCTAACAGACATTTGAATTAGCGGGCGTTGAGTGTATCGATTACAACGTTGCCAAGTTGTAATCACAATACACCACTATGCATCGACTGCTTTAAGAACATTTTTATTTTAAAAATCTATATTTCTTTATCAAAACGGTAAAAAAATTCAGCGTTTCTTAAGAAAATTTTATAACTTCTTGATTTAAATTACATTAGTTTTTAAAAAATATGGTAAGAACCGTTTTCGAGATATCTTGAAATAAATGCAATGATTGTGTACATGACAGGGCTTAATTATGTACAGGTGTTAATTATGTACATTTTGATTGTTAATATCTCGTTTTACAGACGGTCAAAATTTTTTATTTTTTTTAGGTACATAAAAGACACTTTCATTAACCTCATATTTCAATTTTATTGAATTCTTAAGAAAGGCCGTTTTACGAGTGAACTACCTTAAATAAATTTAACAAATAAAAAAATTAACTGGATAACTCCAGATATTTTGAGGATGGGACTGATATAAGGAATTTATTTTGGTTAGTAAAAAATTCGAAAGATGTGAATTTACATATTAGATACAAAGAAGCAAAGAGACAATATGTCAATAATATAAATGGAGCAAAAAGATCTCATTTTCAAAAGGGATTGCACAATAAAACTTATCAGCAAAAACAAAAATATATATGAAAACAGGTAAATCACCAAGATGGTAAAACATCAAAAGGTTCTCAAATTAAACAAATTGAAGTAGGACTGTCAATTATTAACCAAAACAAATAGCTAAAGTTTTTGCAGAGCATTTTGCCACCTCCACAAAAAAAGCACTACAGTCTCATTTCAATGATTTGAATTTTAAAAATTTTACTGCGTCATGTGTCTCTCAGACCTTTTACTTCTCTCCTGTTGATCATCGTGATGTAGTTGAAGTTATTCACTCATTAAAAAATGTTAACTCTATGGGCATTGACTGCAATCTTAAGCAAAATCTTTGAAAAGTGTGTCCACAAAAAAATGCTAATATTGCTTAAAAAATATGAAATAATATGCAAAAATCAAAATAGATTCCTTCCAGAAAAGTCTACTGAAAGTGCAGCAATAGATCTTTTTAATTTCATACATACTTCTATCGATCAAAAGTTGTTTGTGGGTGCATTTTTCTTTGATTTATCAAAAACGTTTGATTCAATCAACTTAGATGCCGCTATTCAAAAATTGGAAGGGCTTGGTTTTAGAGGTAACTTTTTGTCTTGGTTTTCATCTTATATAAATATCAAAGTCGGAAATTGTAAATCTGAACTAGAAAGTGTTGATATGGGTGTGCCTCAGGGATCAATTTTAGGACCTCTAATTTTTCTATGCTACATAAATGATATGCCTAATCATATTAACTCAGAAAACATAATTTTATATGCAGATGACACAACAACTGCCACCAACGCACAATCATAAGATGAATTAATTAGTAAATTAATGTTTTATCTAATGAGTTTACATCATGGTGTTATAGAAATTCTTTAATTGTTAATTCAAACAAAACCGTTTGCTTTCAGTTCTACTCCAGAAATCAAATTACCCAGAATTGTAAAATAAATGTCAATAATGCAGAAATTATGCTCTCAGATGTAAAAGATTGTAAAAGTATAAGTAAAAAAAAAAATATTTAAAATTTGACATTTTGTACTCTTTAATTTTCAGTATTTCATTAAAGAAAGTTGAATCAGATATTAAAATTTCGAAGCCAACACTACAATTACACTATTGGCCATTTATTACGGATCACCCTGTATTTATTTGAAAATGGGATCATTGATGGCTACCTTAAAAAAATCTCGAATGAATTTTGGTGCCTTGACAGATGTTATAAATAGCAGTCCATTACATATTCCTGGCAGTTTTAATACTGCCAGTAATTGACAGCTTCAACATTACTATTGTATCACACCGTATTACACTTCCCAAAATTTCAACAAAACCGATAAACTAGTCGTAGTTTGCAAGTCATGATATATAAATAACGTTTTCAACAGCTTACCTGTGAATCATGTACTATAGTAACAATAACCGTATCATCAGTTATGGCTTTAGTTTCTTTAAAAATCCCAAATTCCAAATCGGCATAGCCAGCCCCTTTCCCGATTCTGTAGCCTTGTTTGGAAACGGCTACACTGCCCACAATAAGCAGATCAATCGTTACTTTATCTTTCACTTCGATTTTAGCACCTACATGAATAAAAATAAGATGCAAAACATTGTAGAAGATTTTTGTAGTACCTATTTTAAGACTAGTTTCTAGAAAATTATATTCAAAAGTATTTTGATTTTATGTTAAATTTTGATGTATTTAAAAATTAGACAATAGTTCATAATTTAAATCTATTCGGCTCTTGAAATTAGCCTGTTTAATCTCTTTTTAATCATCACAATAATATCTCCCCATTTTCTACATTCTCAACTATTAGCTCTCTCTTCCCTCTCATATTTAATTTTACGACTTTAAATAAATTATAATTATGTAAAAATTAAATTAACATATAATTTTCAACAACAAACTATTGTAGAATAAACAGTGACACCTATTTAACATTTTCTGTAAATAATAAATCATCTGGTGATGAGTGTGTACATGATTAAAACCAAAAAAACAGCCTAAATTGTCAATAGGATGGGATATACATACTGTATATTAAACCAAATGTAGACTTTTTCAAAGAAAGGGATACTAAATAAGAATCAAATAGAATGTAAATGGCTAAACAGCTTTTTGAATAACAAAACACCCTGTATAACATTTAAAAAGTCATAAACTGACCAGTATATTCAATCCCCCATCTTGAAACCACCATTTTAACATCCAACTTTTCGTCCAATTCCAATTTCTTCATCAAACATTCTTGCAATCTAGGAAAAGGCACATAAAGATCCTTCTGATTGGACAAAACAAGAGCCCTAGCCGGCGCTAGGGGCTTGTCGGGGTTCACTTCAATGGATTTGGCTTGTTTGAAGACGTCAAGCTCTAGTAATCTAGCAGAGGCTTCTTCGGTGCCTTCGAAATTGGGGATACGACCGAACGGATTGGGGAAGAGCACTAGTTTATTTTTGGCCATGTGGAGCCATACTTTTTTACGTATGGTAAACTTCGTATCCCCTTTAATAAAAACGATTAATATATTTGTTATATCAAAAACGCTATACGTCAAACTTTACTTTTTTGTTTAAAAAAAAATCATTTGAAATTAAATAGTCGTTATATCTGTGCAGGAATTGAAGCAATCAATATAAATTAATGAAACAATTTACCTTGAAAAGTGCACGTGCAATTGTACATATCTGGAAATATTTATATTCAAAACTATCACCGGAATTAATCAATGAATCATGATCTCGTTTTGCAATTAACAATATAAAGTACACAATAAAATACGCCCAAGTAACCAATGTATCGGTAAATAATTTAAAATACGCAGGAAAAATTGAGAAAATACAACCAGGAACATTCCCAGATATTCAAAAATTGTTGTCACGAAAAATGAACCGAGAAAAATGTCAAATAATCTCACCAGATTGAAGCGGCTCCATCGCAGAAACTTGGGATTCACTCATTTTCCCTTTGCTGAAATATTCGCTGACTGAATAAAAATTTAACTACCAAGTGTGACAAATTTCCTTATCTTTGCTCGATACTCCCACCAGTTTTTAATCTTTTGATGGATAGCATTTTTTGTGTGTCCGTGTTTTGAGTTGTTTCGCTTTTTTTGTCTTCTTGTTGACGTTTACGCGATTGATACGAGCGGAAATAGTCAAGGCCGCCTCTGTTTATGGCTAATTTAATTTCTACGAGAATTTTTTTTTTGTATTTTATCAAAATCTAATAAATGGGATATTTATCGGTATTTTCGTACCTGCAATGCGGATTTGTGCATATTTTGAAAGAATTTAAAATTGTTTATTATTTATTTAAGGTTATGTCAAAAAATGTATGTTTGTTCGTTTGTACGTTGTTTGTAGTTTGTGAAAATAGATTACTGTTACGTAAAAGTCTCTTAACTTTGGTCGTCAAATAGAAGATGGCGCTACAATTTAATGATCTATTATTTTAAATTTATAAGTAAAGAAACCAATATAAGCATACATAAATTATAAAATTATTCTTTGTAATAACCTATAATCGATATTTTAATATATTTAGAATTAAATATATTTTTTGCGCAAAATATGACATATTTTTGGTTTGGCTTCTCACTAGACGATGGCTCCACATTCAAGACGCCAGTCACATTCGAAATTCAGAGATTTATATCTAATTCTTTATAATTTCTGCCAATTCAGTAGATAAAACAGTAGTATTTGAATTTTAGCTTCACCGAAATAACTATGTATTTCGAAATCACGACAATTCAACGACCTGTCAAACAGTAGAGATACCGAAGGGTACGGTTGGTATATCTGAGGGGGTTGCGACATAGACTTCCATCTTAAACCATATTTTTATTCGAAATATAGTAGAGCAGGGACAGAAGTTGGAAAAGCTTGGAAAGGATTTGACAGTTTTGCCGCGGAGCTAACCGAAGTAAGCACGAAAAATTGGTGTAGAAAATTATTTAATAGATGCTATAACAAATTCGCGTAAATAGTTTAATAAATTGTGAATTGCTGTTCAAAAATATTGTAGAATTATGATTTAATACCCTGCTTCTTCAGTTATATTACTTTTGTTTAAATACTTATTTATAGCCCATAAATAGATACGATTGCCCGATTCGGCCAGTAATAATTTAAAATTGTATTATTTTTATTTTATGATACGACAATGGCGAACAAACATTATAGCGAAATTCTCCCCTGGATTTGATGTTTATCACTCTCTCTACCCACGGTTCGTAGACTAAAACACTCGTGTATCGGGGACAACACTAATCATTTGTAGTGCGCATGTCGTACGCGTTTTATTTGTACAATGGTCTCCTTTTGACATAGTAGGTGAGCTGTGTCCAGGCCGTTGATGTTTACGCCGGTCGGCGTAATCAGGTATGGATTGAAATTTTCCGGTGGCGGCGAAGCCGCCACCCTTCGAGAAGTCGTTGCTTCATCTTCTTGTTGTCACGGCATTATTATTTGTTCATATATGTGAAATTTGCTCCTAAGGTTTATAAAATACTACTGCTAGTCACGGCGTAAATGAAAACAAACAAGACGCATTCACAGAAAGACTTCCCACCACAGCAATTACAAATGATTAGTGTTGTCCCCGATACGCGAGTGACTAAAACTGTGGTCTCATCAGGTTGCTAGGGACGGAGGTCTGACGTCACAGAATGAAAAATCGAGGTGACAGAAAATATTCTGCTGCTACATTTAACTACATTAGTTTTTTTTTTAAATCTAATACTTTATTATTATTTAGTGGTGTTATATTTTTTATTTTTGGACTATTTTCCAGCGTTAGAGTTTTTATAATATCAGAAGTTTGACTTTTTTGAAAGAGTATGAGCTACCTAAAATTTCAAATGAATGACTTTTTATTTGAATTATAAAAAAAAATATTATTGGGTGAATGGTTTATTTTAAACATTTTGCATTAGGACCATATTTTGTTTGTGCCCTGAAATAATTGCATAATTTTTTGCAAACACAATTTTTACAAACAAAAATCATCAGAAGAAAGTATTTCATTTTTCCGTTTTCTAAAAAGCGGCCTTTTACACAAAAAAGGGTGCAATAAGTTTTAGAAAATGTTAAAACTGTAAAAATATGTAATTTTAAGGAAGAGGATTTTATAAATGACATTCAAACGCGAATAGGGATTGTAATCCAGCAACGTTTTCAATCCAGCTGGATTTTTGGTGGACCAACATCATTCCAGTTGGATCAACCGTGGATCTCTTATCACTAGGTCCATCCAACCAACAAGAGCCAGAAACCTAGCAAAGAGGCAACGTTGACAAAGTGGAATTTTTGGTCATTATTAAAAAAAATAACTACTTGCGGATCCGCAACGCTGGATCCAACACTCGGTGCTGGATCCAGTAGGCTAAAAGATGTGCGGGATCCAGTAATTGCAATCCCTAAACGCGAATCATATATCTGATAAAACTGGGATGCTTTATTCGTTTTTTTAAGTACATTATACTGTTTATACATAAAAAAACTAGGAACTGACAAAATATATCTTTTATTTTCCATATAAATATACATTTTAAATCCAACAAACCCTTGTTTTCTTCATTTAAATTATTTTTAACTCATTTTTACTAAAAACGTCCTGTAGCAAACCCTTTCTTCAACAATATATGTCCTTTTAGTAAAGCCCTTTGACTTTCTTGCTCTTGGTTGTGTTCAATGCTTGTAAGAAACCATTTCATCTGCTTTTAAATGTAGGATGGACAAAGCTCCAATTAATTTAATAATTTTGAATGATAACTGCAGAATAAGAATAATATTCTAAAATCTTACCATTAATATTTAATTTCTTTTGATGATTTTTGTTTGTAAAAATTGCGTTTGCAAACAGCAAAATTACAGCTCTAGGTATGCTATTTCAAATTACTTCAGAATATAAACAAAATGTGGTCAGAGTTCAGCTCGAAGGCTCCAAAATGTTTAAAATAAACCATAAACAAAATAATATTTCTCTTCACAATAATTCAAATAAAAATTATTCATTTGAGGTTTTATGGAAATAATTACATGCTAATTTAACAAAAAATTATAAGCGTTTTTAAAAATGACATTTTTATTTTGTTCGACATAAAATGGGTAGTTTTTTAGGATAAAATATTAAATGTCCAGTATTTATGATTTCACGTGTTGTAGATAGAATACATCGTATATGTCGGAACCCCTTAGATATACTAACCTTTTCCTTCAGTAGAAAATTAGATCGATCTGTCTACTGCTCCGACCTACGTCTAAATAGTATGGAGTGATTATGCAGATTAGGAAAAGGAAGCGATCCTAGAAAATTATGCTTCTTATGGGGATTTTATATAATTTTGTAAAAATAATAAAAATAAACTGGTTTACTGCTTTCTTTAGTCTTCATGGGAGCGATCCACTAATTCACAGAAAAAAATTGGTGAAATAGGCATTGGAAAATCAACGCATGTCGTAGAATACAATGCAACTTCTTTTTAAGTGTCAGTTTGGAGTTAATTCAATGCCGTACGTAGTTATCACGAATATGAAAATTTTCAAATAAATATACCTTCCTATCGATATTCTATTGTGGTTTAAAGGTTTGAAATGAAACAAACTTTTAAAATTTTCAAATTAAATTTTACTTGAAATTTTTACAGCGTTTTACAATAAAATGTTTTCAACAATATCCATATTTCATTAGTGAAATGATCCATATTGATTTACAAAATATGTTGTATAATATAAAATTCTATACATAAAAAATATAATACACGTTTACTCTATCTTTAAATAATAATAATTCTTGGAATCCTGAGGCTTCCTAAATACATACATCAGAACGTGCAGTGACATATGTCAGTGCAGACTTCCGACTTAAATTGGGCAATCCAAATCACTTTAAATGGTGGACGATTGGCAAACACAATAAATGTTATAAAAGTGTTTTGTGACAACGTTTTACTAGTGAGATTATTAGTCTAAGCGTGTGTATTATTTCCGAATATTTAGTGTTTATTAAGAATAATTTCATATTAATATATTTTTATTACACACCTTTTTAGTCTTAAATTAACGTAGAATCCTTTAGAATCTCCAAATCAACGATCAATAGTTCTAAAACGTACAAATTTGCCGTGATTTACAATAACAGTCAAACACTAATGAAAAAGTTGGGTTAACAAATTATTATTTTTACCAATCATCTCCACTTTTTGGTCCTTCTTGCCGGACCTTGGATTGCCTAATTAAAATACAATAATACGCTATATTAATTATGACGTAATTTGTATTCCACTGACAATGACAGTAGACTTATAAAAATGGAGGTTATAAAAGTATTCATTACCGTTATTTTCTAGAATATTGTAATCATCTGAACATTAAAACTGAAGAGTAAGATGGTTAATCATATTTCAAGTGTGGTACGTCTAATAAAGAAATAAAAACTAAAGTCTTAACCACAATATATGTAAATTAAATAAGGGTAACTAGTTTCGGTCAAATTTGAACATCATCAGGTCTGGAAGAAAAGTACAACTTAAAATATTGAAAAAGGTTTAATAAAAATGACAAATAACCAAATAAATTAAATGTTTCAAGCATCTTTAGAGACAATTACATATTAAAGTGAAATTACATGAGATTGGGTAAAAGTAAATATAATAAATTAGTTGTAATGATAAAGTTAATTTAATAAGCATAACTTTAATGAGTATAAAAATGTAAAAAATGAATTTATGTTCAAAATACATGAAACATAAACAGCAAAATTTATTAATTGGGAATTAGATAGGTAATTTAAAAGGTTATAGTCATAACAGACATATACCCATTAAAAATGTCATTTTAAACTTCGTTTAATCACTAGCGGTGTGAATGAGGTTAAGACCACATTCTTAAACATAAAGTAAAGCCTAGGTTGAAGGATGTTGTCACAACCTTTTAAATTACTTGTGAATGTCCTAATTATCTAATAAATTTTCTTTGTTTTTGCAACCACGTTTTTTTGTAAATATTTTAAAGATATTAATTGTTTACATTTTTGTACTTAAGGGCCGTGCCCGAAACTCTGGCCGAAAGGCTACTCTAGCAATGATCGTGCCGAAGCTACTTAATCTTAAGTAAAAGTTTTATGCATTGAACTGTGTATTTTGCAAATAAAGTTTTGGAATGTCACGGAATTAAACAATTGATGTGAAAAATGTATTCTAATATATGAAGATTATGTGGAACACAAACTATGACACTAATTACAGCGTATTTAAACCAATTCTAAACAAACAATTTTGTTTTTAGTCAAAGCAAAGCTAAAATCAAAATGATATGATTGGGTCTAATAAATGTAATTACAAATAAACTTTACTTCTTTTATAACATAACCAAACAAATATAACACTTAATATGAATGCAGATAATAATTTAGTGTAAACGTTTATTATGTTTAAACGAAAAACATTAGCTTGACGATGGTAGTTTCTTCGCCAAGGAGGCACCCTTTCCCAATCCAAATTGTTTGAATAAGTCCGATAACGTTTTGCAGACGAGCTCCGTGTTTAACGACAAAGCTTGAGGCGCATCATCTAAAAACATTAAACCGATTTATAAAGAGTGTGATCTAGAAAAAGTGTTTTTAAAGTAGGCCATGACCGACAAAGTTACGAGTCGTGTCCGTATGCATTAGGTCCACACAAACACTTAAAAAGAAGAAGAATTGAATGCGTTATTTTTTCCAAGCCTACTTTAGAAACGTTTCTTATGGATCACTCCATATTTGCACAATGCCATAATTGGTACTGGTAACGTCACGCATATCATAGTAACATAACACTGTCAAATTTGATGTAAGATGGAAGAATTTCCGGATTTCTAAACCACATTTGAATTTTATTATAAGAAATTTTAATTTAATTTATTTAAAATTATGTCTCCATCAATAAAAAATAGAAATATTTTATCAATGGTTATTTTTGATGAAATAACAGCGATGAATACTTATGCCAGGTCTATTTTTATAACAAAACGTCATATATATATATATAGTTTTAAAACGTCAAAATTGTTGTCATTTTTAATTTAAAACGTCCAACGACGATTTTGTAGCGATAGACTTTCATCGTTATATTGTGACATTACAGGAACAAAACGTCCTACACTTGCTACAAATATTTGTCAAAAAGTCAACAATGTAGCCACATACTCTCAATGACGTAACTTACGACAAAATCTCAAAAATGCGTTTATAAGGTATGTTTTAGTTACAAAACGTCATATATGCTTTTTTAAAACATCAATATTCGTTACAAACTCGATTTTTTGATAGAAAATATCACATCATCCGTTTTTGCTACAAAAGGTCCAAAACGTTATGATTAAATTAAAAAAATCAACAACGTAGAGACAACAACGTAAATTATTGGGACAAAACGTTAAAAAATAGACGTTTTTTGAAATTCGTATATAAGGCCTGTGTTTGTGATATAACGCCCAACGGTTAATTTAGTGAAAAACTTTTAAAAAAATCGTTTTAAAAGCATCTAAAATTACGATTTTGTAGCGATGGACCTTTAGAAGCATCGTTTTATGACTTGTAACAACTAAAACGTCCAATTCTTGCTACAAAACGACTACAACACTCTTTTTTTTGCTACTAAGTTAAAAAGTCAAGGAAGCAGCGGCAGATATTCAAAAAAACTTTAATTTATTGGCACAAAGCGTCCAAAATGGACGATTTTAAAATGCGTATATAAGGTCTGTGTTTGTAATAAAAGGCCTAACGGTTATTTTAGTGAGAAATCTTTAAAAACATCGTTTTAAAAGCATCTACAACTACGAATTTGTAGCAATGGACATTCAGAAGTATCGTTTTATGATGTGTAACGACTAAAATGTACAATTCTTGCTACAAAACGTCTACAACCCTCGGTTTTTGCTACAAAACGTCGATAGTGTAATTTGATTCGAATTAAAACGTTATTTATGGTAGAAACAAACTTAAACGATAAGTTATATTGCTACAAAACGTCGCAAAGTATTTTTTTACTAAAAAAATGTCCAATAAAATTAACTAAAATCGCGCATTAAATCTTTTAACAACTTTTTCGGACTAGCCAAAAAATTACTTTTCATGAAGTCCTGTCACTAGACATAACCTTATAGAAACGAGAAACGTCTAATATATAAAAAATATTTACCCTCATACTGCAGTTGCAAAAGATGTATCGACCCAGGATTACTTTTGCACACTTTTCTTAACTCGTTCAGCAAGGCATCTAATTGGGCACTAATTTGCGCATCATTCTAAAAAAGAGGAAACTGCTGACTCCATTGTTTTAATTCTGATAATACAGCAATTTTATTTTCAATAATAATGACGTTTGACAGTGATTTAACAACAAAATTGTACCTGTGACTGTTTGGTAGAGCAAACCTCCATCAGATGCGACAATTGCACTGTAGTTTTGTTCAACAGCATCTGTTCTAGGTTGAATAGCAACTGGTAGAGGTAATTCCGACCATCTACTTCTTCGGACGCTTCTCTGGGCGGGGTCAGAGAGTCGTGAGGTAGAGAAGGTAGTCCAATGAGAGCTGGAGGTTTATCTTTATAAGTCGCTGAAGCCAGCGCGTAAGAAAGCACGGCCGCGTCGTAGGCTTCCATTTTTAGGTTCTTTGATGATCTGTCAAATGTCATAAGATAAAATATTCTAGGTAGATACGCAAATAGATAATGGTTAAACACAAATATGTTTTCGTTTAATAGCACAGTTTATCAAAAGCGTATGGTTTCTTTTTATTGTAAAAACTTTAGGGGAGTTGCAAAAATATATACTTACTGTATTTTAAGAGGACACTTTTCTAATTATGTTCCAAAAAACGATTTGAAAAAGCATTTAAAAACTATTTGAATAAAATGGGAACAATTTAAACACATTTACGGTTTTTCCCCAGATCTGGGGAAATTTGTGCCAACACTGCACCGTATGAAACAATGATAATTCTCATATCCAAGAGATCTATCGATCGCTGGAGAAGCAGTATTCTTTTTTTGTCGAGTTTCTGGTTTAATCATCGGACGTACTTACTGTTGATTTGTACGATCTGTCAATCTGGTATACACATTTCCCCAGATCTGAGGAAAAATCGAAAAAGTTTTTCTATAAACGCTTTTAAATATTAAGAATTATGTTTCTTTTAAAAACATCCGAGTAGTAGAAAAGGACCCACTTGAGCACAGTTTTATTACATTTTTTGCGATTTTTCCCCAAATCTGGGGAAATTTTTAGAGTAAATTTGAAAAGACCGCACAAATTAGTAGTAATTTTGAGCTTGCACAGTATCGCTAGCGGCGAAACTATGTTGCTTTTTTCTGTTTAATTATTGGACGTCAATTTATGCGGTTCGGTTTTTAAAAAATCAAAAAGAAACACCCCTTATTTTTATAACAAGACGTCAAAATTGTTGCTTACAGATCTTGGGAAATTTGTATAGTAGATCTGGCAACACCACACCGCTTGAATCAATGGTAAGTAATTCTCAGGGGAATTATTTATCCAAGGATTCAGTTGATCGCTAGAAAAGTGGTGTTGCCTTTTTTTTGTCAAATTTCTCATTTTCAGACGTACTTACTAGTGATTTTTGCCATATCTACTCTACAAATTTACCGATTTGAGGAAAATCAAAGTTTAAAGTAGATTTGGCAATACCACACAGCATGAATCATTAGTTTTCCGCCTGTAGGTTATCTAAGAGCTATTTGCCGCAGGAGAAGCGGTATTGCCTTTATTGTCACGTTTCTACCATTTATTTTTTACGATGCAGTGTTGCTAGAGCTAATCTAAAAATTTCCCCAGATCTGGGGATAAATAGAAAAAGTGAATTGATGAGAATTCCACTATAATTTTTGTTATTTTTTCGATTTTCCCCAAATCTGGGAAATTTGTATAGTAGATCTGGCAATACCGCAAAGCATGAATCATTAATTTTTCGCTTGTAGGTTATCAAAGGGAGCTATTTACCGCAGGAGAAACGGTAGAGCCTTTGTCAAGTTTCTGGTTAATTATCGGACGTTTCTACAATTTATTTTTGCGATGCAGTGTTGCCAGAGCTAATCTACAAATTTCCCCAAATCTGGGGAAAATCGAAGAAAAAGTGAATTGATGAGAATTCCACCACAATTTTTATGTTACCTTTTCAATTTTTCCCAGATTTGGGAAATTTGTGAAGTAGATCTAGCAATACCGTACAGCATGAATCGTTCATTTTCTGCTTGCAGGTTATCTAAGGGATCTATTTACCGCTGGAGTGTTGCCAGAGCTAATCTACAAATTTCCCCAGATCTGGGGAAAAATCGAAAAAGTAAATTGATGAGAATTCCACCATGATTTTTATGTTACCTTTTCGATTTTCCCCAGATTTGGGAAATTTGTATAGATCTGGCAATACCGCACAGCACGAATCATTAATTTTTCGCTTGCAGGTTATCTAAGGGAGTTATTTACCGCTGGAGAAGCGGTACTGCCTTTATTGTCAAGTTTCTGGTTAATTATCGGACGTTTCTACCATTTATTTTTGCGATGCAGTGTTGCCAGAGCTACTCTACAAATTTCCCCAGATCTGGGGAAAATCGAAGAAAACGTGAATTTATGAGAATTCCACATTAATTTTTAACAGGGTGATATTTGTTACTAACTCGGCTTGTGCTTTTGTTTAGATGTCAATTAAACTTCCAAGACTAGTTCCATGGTTCCAATTTTTTTTTTTTTCGGCAAAGTTTGTTTTGCGTATCTCGATGCATTAATGTATATTTTTAAATAAATAAACTATTATTTTGGGGAGTAGTGTGACACTGGTGTAATTTGACCAATCTTTTGATGACGTAGTTTTAGTTTTAATAACATTTCACTATTTACTGAACAAATAAATAATAAAGCGATATAGAAATTAAATAATAATACAACTACGTCATGCACAAAAATTTTGAAGCGATAACTATGCTTTAAACATATAAATAATTGCAATTTTCAATTAGTTTAAAGCACATTTATCAATTTTTTTAGTACTAAATTAATGATGCAAATGAACTACTACCAAGTGCCAAACGTACCCTACATTGCATTTCAAAACATGCTGTCACTATGCCTCGCTCTACATACACAAACACTTTTACAAACGCAAAAATTCGTTTTCGTGTGAAACCAAAAAAATTAAAAAGAAACGAAAATTAAAAAGAAAGGTAAAAAATAAAAGCAACGAAAATAAATTAATCCCTTTTATTTTGAGCTCAAAATAAAATAAACATATGTACAAATGTTACTTATTCAACAAATTTTTTATTAATTTCCTACCTAAAAAATAATTTACTGTATTTACAATATGGAACACCGCTATTTATTATAACTATTATTTACAAAATATTGTCAATTCGATTACATAAACTAAGTGATTTCATTTTAATAACAATCATTAAGGCACTCAGTAACGAACTTTATGCGTTTCCCCCGTAAAATTGTAAAAAAAAAGTAATTTTATTACTTTTTTTAAGTGTCAATTTTTCTTAGAGTAGGTATAAAATAATATAAATATTTCATCCCACTCGCACAATTTAAAAATACGGATCAAAATTTCTTAAATATGTTATTTATTTTTTTTACTAATAACTTGTTAAAAACAAACATTGACAAAAATACCATTTTTACAATCCCTTTTTTTCGATTTAAAAATTATTGACATTTTCTTAGAAAATTGCCCACAAATATTATTGTTCCATTTTGTAAGATATTCCTACAAAAACTATATACAATCTTTTTTCCAAATATATATTTTTTCAAAAAAATATAGAAAGCACCTTATTTCATTTTCGGAAACTTTTGAATTCGTCTTGCATTTTTGCACACAAATCGTAATCGAGAGTCAATGCCTCTATTTAACCTTCAAGAAAACCAAACAAATATTTTTTTGCTAAATTTGTTCGAAATATTATAAATGTTACTTCCCTTAATTTTCTTTCATTTAAGGACTACTCATCTTTTACATTCCGATAAAATGACGAACTGAAAGTCAAAACAACCATTGTGTAGCGTTATATCTTTAAAAACAGTTTTCATGGTGACAAAACGTAAAAAGTCAATTTTTGCTACAGAAACGTCCACAGTGCCTGTTTTTGCTATAAAATATCAATATTAAAAAAAAGTACCTTCATTGACAAAAACGTTCAAAAAGACGATTTTAAAAAATGCTTATAACGTGTATTTGCAAAAAAATGTCATAGTTGTTACTTTAAAATGTCAAAAAGTCACTAATGAATGATTTTTCAGAAATACCATTCTCGTCATAAAAAACGACGATTTTATATTGTCAGACCTTCCAGAAACATTATTTAATTGTGACATAACACTAATTCATCAGATTCTTGCATTCATTTTTGCTACAAAACGTTGACAATAACCTCAAAACGATAAGTTAGATTGCTACAAAAAGTCTAATGTATTTTTTAATAACAAAAATCTAAAATAACTTTTCAAACGCGTATTTTTATGTTTATACATTCGATAATGTTTTTACTGTAACAAAACGAATGTTCAAAAACGGCGTTTTTGTAGAACGTTACAAAACGTCGATAACGACTGTGTTCAGAATATTATAAGTGGAGCAACTTGAGTTGAGCTAGAGAAAATATTACTAGTTTCTACCCCAGATGTGGTTAATTTAAGTACCTTTCATCTTTTACGTTCCGACATGACAGCATGAAAGTCAAAACAACGATTTTGTAGCGATATACTTTTATAAAAACGTCTAAATAACGATGATTTTATAATGACAGACCTTCGTTTTATTGCGATATAACGACTAAAACATCAGATTATTGCTTCAAAACGTTTGCATTTGTTTTTGCTACAAAACGTTGAAAATAACCTAAAAAAACTATACGTTAGATTGCTACAAAAAGTCTAAATGTATTATTTACTTAAAAAAAATCTAAAATAACTTTTCAAACCCGACTTTTTATACATTCGAAAATGTTTTCATTGTAACAAAACGTATTTTCAAAAACGTTACAAAATGTCGATAACGACTGCGTTTTGTCAGACATTTTATCGCAACCAACAGTTCAAATCGACAAATTCCTTGCGAAAAAACGTTTAGAATATTATAAATGGAGTGCCGTGTCTTGAGTTAAGAGAAAAAAATTACTAATTTCTACCCTAGATATGGTCAATATAAGCACCTCTCATCTTTTACATTCCGATATAACGACTGCATGAAAGTCAAAACGACGAATTTGTAGCGATATACCCTTAAAAACGTTGTTTTTATGGTGACATTTTTGCTACAGAAACGTCTATGTTTGTTTCTGCTACAAAATAAAGAAAGAGAAGGCAGACTTTCAAAAACTTTCATTGACAAAACGTCCAAAAAGACGATTTTATAATGTATTTTTGCAAAAAAAAATGTCATGTTACTTTAAAATGTCAAAAATGTCGTTACCTTTAATTCAAAAAAACACTAATGGTTTTTGCAACGAGAGACCTTCAGAAACTACGATCTCCTTATAAAAACTTATAAAAAATGACAGACCTTCATAAGCATCCTTTTATTGTGACCTAACCAACTAAAACATTGGATTCTGGCTACAAAACATTTGAATTTGTTTTTGCTACAAAACGTTAAAAACAACCTT